ATGTAGTTTACTGCTACCAGCAAGCAATAATATTTCTTCTCCTGATGATGGCCATGTTAGCCGAAACTAGTCGAGGAATCTAAATGAAATAATAATAAAAAAACGAAAGAATATTAATCTACAACCCAGTGTGTCTAAAGATTTTAATTTTTTAATATTTTTTATTGTTCAAAAAAATATATATATATATATATATATATATATATATATATATATATATATTATTTTCATCGTGTTTATATATATATATATATATATATATATATATATATATATATATATATATATATATATATATATATCGATATCAGATATCTATCTATCTATCTATATATATATATATATATATATATATATATATATATATAAGGTAGGTGGAAATCGTCAGCCCTGGAGGGTAGTCCACCTAAAAGAAGGAAAATTATGGAGTTAAAATTCTGCTGCCTTGCGGCCATATCCAATAATGGGAAAGGCTTCGGGAGTAAACCCCGACGAGAAATCTGCAGTCGGAGTCCCTAAGAAAGTCCGATGCTATGTTCATCTTCGTTCTGATAACTTCTGCCACGACGCTGATGCCAAGCTGTATTGGCCTTTACCTGTCCCTTGGACATCATTGGTGGCGTGGAGAGGGGTGACGTACTGTATGGGAAACCGTCGATCTGTCAAAAACTCTCCCTTGGTATGCCACATATAGGTTACAATAAAATTTGTATTTTATATGAACACTAACTTTTGAGAATTGAGACGTAGTAGAGTGTATAAACGTTTAATGGGTATCATAGATTCGTGGGGTAGACATGAGACCATTGCACCGGCCGTGCTTACAGGACATATTGAAGGCAAGAGGAGCCGGGGAAAACTTAGAGCAATCGACTTATCTAGTTTGTGTTAATAGATGGCAAAAGAAGGTAAAGAATGATGGTAAAGAGATAGAAATTATTTAGAACATTGAATGATAAAAAGTTGTGAAAAATTCGATCCCCGCATCCTGAAAAATAAAAGACATTTTTTTTAATTAGCCTTTCTATTTTCATTGTTAAAATATTTTTAAAAAAAAAGCACAAAAGATAAAAAAATACATTATCAATCGATAATTTTGGACGCTTGCCTTCCGTTCGATCTTATCGATCTTTCATTATTTATATTAGTTTAATTTTTACTAAAATAAACCAATACAGCCATATGAAAATAGATTACTTTCTTTCTGTACTGAGAAAAAATAATTAATTTTTTTTTTTATATATATTTTCTTTTAATATTTCCAGATAACTTGCGGTTTTAATGTCATTTATTCAGACAGCGTTCAGGTCAACATGGAGCGAACTTACCGTGGCCAAAACCCACGTTTGTCACAAATCCTGACACAGTCTAACCGCAAATGACAACAACCAGAAAAATCCCGGCTATGAGACATGCACAAAATGAGATTAAATGGAAAAACAAAACAGAGTTCGGCAATTGACAATCCATATCTTAATCAAGTCACCGCCCCATTGTCCAACCCATCGCCTTGAGCACAAGCACGTGACCATCTGATTATTTTTATTCGCGGTAAAATATTTTGTCATCTTCTTTATCAGATCATTGCGTCGTGTCTTCTAATGCATCGATTTATATTGCGTGCGCCATTTGTGAGCCTGTCGCTTTCTGCCTATTTTATTTTCTTCTTTATTTGCTGTGTCCCCTCAGGACGTAGGCGATCATGTATCTCCACAACTTCCTGTCCCATATAGCTCTTAATAAATTTTGTCTTTCTCTTATTTCTCCTAAATTCTGATTCGCCATCCGTTTACACACTCTCATTAAATATTAGATGCATTGTTTTTCTCTGTCCCTTCTTGCCTTCACCCTGTCCTGTGAGTATCAGATTTTCCAAGCCCTCTTTCCTCATCATGTGCTCTAAAAATTTAATTTCTCTCTTTCTGGCGTTAAGTATAAGTTTCATTTTTATTTTAATTTTCTCTTAAACGTCGTCGTTGCACAGCTGTTCTGTCCAAGATATCCTCAGCATCTTACTGTAGAGTCACTTTTCTGTTGCTATAAGTCTGAACTTCATCTTTGATGGGATTGTTCAACCCGCATTGCCATACCGGAAGACAGATATCACGTAACAGTTTAATAAACTTTTCCTTGATTCGACTTATTTAAAATGGTTGAGTGTGTATGCATCTGTGAATGTGTGTGAGTTTTCCCGTGTGTGAGAAAATGGTGAAATTATTACAGTAACGAATCTGGCACTGGCGCTTCACATTCGTGATCTTGTTACAGATTAAGTTAAAATGATAATGGTAATGTTATTATTTGCTGTTTCTTTATGAGAAAGTATTCGGCATTCATTGACCGAGCAGCTATTGTTAGTTGTTTGAAATTTATAAAATCTTTCTATTAAAGCAATTTTAAAGCAGGAAAAAAAGGATTTCTTATGTTCAATATTTATTATCGTTCTTTGGGCTTCCTTCCTAACCTTTTATTCGAAGTATTGTAGAACGTTAACATTTTGATTATATCATTATTTTCTCCCTCGCATGACATGCACTATCCAATTGAGTTGTTGCTTTTGTTGAAAGTCTACAAGCAATGTGATTTCCGTTATTTGGTACAGTTCGTCTATGTGAGTCTGGTGAGCCGGACAACGAAATTCAAAGAAGGATGGTCCTCGCTAATACCTATACTCTTCAATCGCTCACAACACGTATTAGAACAAGAACATGTTTCGTTGATCTGTACAACGATAGTGAGCCTAGTCTTAAATGAGTTCCGCGCTGTTGAGGGAGTCAAAAGTTATCCCCCTTTGACTAAACCTTAAAAAAAAAAAAAAAAAAAAAAAAACTAAAAATAGATAACCTTTAAAAAACTAGAAATAGTTATATAGATAGTGACGTGAACAGCCCAAGGGATCGTTAGGCGCGAAAGTCAAACATCCTCATTGGTTCCTGGCAGTCAAACCAGAAAGACGTACTTATTCAGGCTCGTGACTATCAAGTACTCAAGATCACCTTCTTTTTCAGATATCAAATCTCTCACAAAAACATATACACACTTTGTATGAACATTTCAATATATATATATATATATATATATATATATATATATATATATATATATATATATATATATATATATATATATATATATATATTCAATTACTGTTATATGAAGACTTATGTGGTTATTTTAAACTTTTTTTGTGTTTATATTTGTATGTTATTCGCTTTGTTAATTAATCCAATAGCACACTTTCTCGCACAACAGCGCTATTTTTGGCACTAGTAATAACTCAGCAAATGTTACGTTACTAATTATAAGTCACTAGCAATAAGTCTCAATAATAAGTTACAATATTAAGTCAATAATTAATCACTAGTAATAATAAGTCATTAGTAATAAGTCTCAATAAGTCACTAAAAAACACTAGGGATAAGTCTCAATAATGTCATAAATCAGTGACTAGTAATAAATCTCAATAATAACTCACTACGGTGGAGTAATGGATAGCGGCTTGGATTGAGGTATCGGGGAGCCGAGTTCGAATCTATTACATTCACTTACGTGCTAATACCCTTGGGAAAGGTATGAATTCCCTTCTTCTCCCCCCCCAGCTATGGGTAAATAGCAGGACAGACCAGGTTATACAGCTTTTTGCAGAAAGAAATAGCAAACTAGTGCGGGAAAAATCTGCCTCGTCAATTATGATCGCCTAAGCGTGTATCACGCATGACACATAACTGACCGACAGAGTAATAAGTCACAAATATGTTAATAAATCACTAGCAATAAGTCTCAATATATATATATATATATATGATGGACTCTCCCGTCGATTTCGACGTATGAGGTTCCGACAACTTTTTAATGACCTTTATGTTTGAATCTAGAGTGACATTTCAGACCTGCTAATGACTTGCAAAGAAAACCACAGATTGGGCAAGCGTGTGAGCAAAGTGGGTGCACTTCTCTGGCACCCTCTGAGGCTTTTTTCCTTTCTCTTGCTTCACGGAGCTTGACAACGCTTGCCGCCGAAAAATTCCTGATTCCAGTGTAAGTTACACTTTTCCAAGCTTTGCGATCCATGGCAGTATTCTCCAAATCAGTGTGTGCAATATTTGCAGCTGCAAGGTTACTTTTCATCTTATCTTTAAACCTGAGCAAGGGTCGGCCAATATATCGTTGACCACTTTCAAGCTGGCTGTACATGAGAATCTTTGGAATTCTACCATCTTGCATCCGTACAACATGACCGGCCCATCGTAACTATATATATATATATATTTAGAATTAGAAATAAAAAAAAATTACATAAGATTATTTTACATGCCTTGAAACAACTGTATGCCCTATGGAAACAACTCCCAACAGGATGTCTTACTACAATCTTAAGCTCTTCAAGGCCAGGGTTAACCGGTATATTCCACTCCTAGACATACATGTAGCCTCGAATCGCAACCCTCTACATTGAGTGGTCCCGGGCCTTGTAAAGGGTAGACAACGCTGTAAAAAAAAATGTTGAGAAAGAAATTATCTTTATCTTAAAAATAATGCTTTGTATTTTGGATGGAACGAAATGGGAAGTTTCATTTTGGGCATCCAGTGAAAGACGGACTTCTCCGATAAATGGGATTGGGGGCGGGGGGTGAAAAAGGCGGGTAGAAACGGTTTAAAAAGATATAAACGAACGTACCGGCAGGCGAGCCTCACGCGAACGGGTTAGAGGAAGACTTATCTGAAATATAAACTGCTCTCTTGACAGCCATTTGGCTATCGTCAAAGTCATACGGCGACGAGAAGTAATTAAACGTTTCTGTCATATTTGTAGCACGTTCCTGGTGTTAATGTGTGGCCATTACACCAATTGGTTCTGTTCGGCTGGGAGGCACCGACGTTAGTAGACTTTGAAACGACTAGAGAGTTTAGAGGTCGAGGGTAGGGTGCGGCATTGGCATACGGTTCAGCCATCTGGTGCGGTCAGATTTCGCTAAATCCGCGAGGCGCACCTAATCGAGTTAGTGGGTAGCCGCACCACGTGGAGTTGTAGGTTGTAGTCGGCAAGCACGCGAAAAGTAGAATACTGAAGAAGAAGAAGAAGAAGAAGAAAAAGAAGAAGAAGAAGAAAAAGCAGTAGAATCCTGAAGAAGAAGAATCCTGACGAAGTAGAATAATCCTGAATAAGAAAAATCCTGAAGAAGAAGAAGAAAAAAAAGAAGAAAAAGGAGAAGAATCCTGAAGAAGAAGAAGAAGAAGAAGAAGAAGAAAAACGAAGAATCCTGAAGAAGAAGAAGAAGAAGAAAAAGAAGAATCCTGAAGAAGAAGAATCCTGACGAAGAAGAAGGAGAAGGAGAAGAATCTTGAAGAAGGAGAAAAAGGAGAAGAATCCTGAAGAAGAAGAAGAAGAAGAAGAAGAAGAAGAAGAAGAAGAAGAAGAAGAAGAATCCTGAAGAAGAAGAATCCTGACGAAGAAGAGGAAGAAGAAGAAGGAGAAGAATTCTGAAGAAGAAGAATCCTGCCGAAGAAGAAGTAGAATCATGAAGAAGAAAAAGAAAAAGGAGAAGAATCTTGAAGAAGAAGAAAAAAAAAGAAGAAAAAGAAGACGAAGAAGAAGAATTAGATGAAGAAGAAGAATCCTAAAGAAGAAGATGGAAATCTATTAAAAAAAAATGAGAAAAAAAACCCAGAGAAATGATGAATAATTTAATAAAACTCAGAATGAATGGATAAAAATAAAAGTGAAACTTAAAAAGAGAAAAAAAAAGAAAAAAAGAAACGATAAGATTAAGTGAGATTGGTTTGATATCCTTAAAAAAAAGGGAAAAGAAAATGGAAGTTATAGCATTCAGGTTAGGTTTGCCACCAATCATGTTACGAGTGACAAAAGACGCCGCCTGAGGTCGCCCTTAGAACGAAGATCGGGTGGCATCAATTAACCGAAAACAAAACGACAGTAATTAAAAGCTATTTAGATGATATTGTCGCTTCATAGTTGAACATTGAAAAAAGCCCAAGACGTGAATGTGATGGGTAAAGGCTACGAGAAAGTAACATGAACAAAAAAAAGACGAATTGAGGAATTAACGTAAGAATGAGAATTTATCGACTTACAAGGAAATAACGTAGACCAGAAATTCTGAAGAGATAATAAAAGCATAACAAAAAAGCTTCAGAAAAAAATACGCGCTTTCAATATAGTGGAGTAATGAATAGCGGCATAGGATTGTGAAATCGGAGAGCAGAGTTCGAATTCCAGTCGAATCCATTACATTCACTTACATTATGAATCCTCCTCTTCTCTCCCCACCTATGGGTAAATAGCAGGATAGACCGGGTTCTATAGCCGTGGATGGCAAATGGTCTACCGCTGAAAGAAATGTCAACCTACTGCAGGAAAAAATCTGCCTCGTCAGTCATGTAGCGAAAGATACATGATCGCCTAAGCATGTATCACGCATGGTACATAACTGACTGTATCAACCTTGAATTAATATATACTATATAATTTTTGAGTGGAACTATCCAGTCGAATTAGTGTGAATTATTGTGCGTCGGTGATTTGGTTATTGATTTCGGATTTACCTGACGTTAATGCCGAGACGCACTACTAACAAGGTATTCATTGAAATGATTAATTATCTTTGGTTGACTGTTACTTCTTTGTTCTTGTTAAGTATTTATTTCGGTTGTAATTAAATACTGTTTTATCTTAACATTGAAGTCTTGAGTTATATTTAATTATTAACGGCTACCGGACGTCACAAAAATATGTTATTCTGATTTCACAGTTGAATACATGGTATATGATACTCAGATTTTGTGCATATACATGTTTGTGTGGACATAATTTCTAGAGGCGTTGATATATGTGTTTTATGTTGTAAAGTTATATTTTGGAATACAGTTTGATTTCTTTAAGAAATTATAGGATATTAAAAGGATTAATATCATGGAAGAGTTCTTTCATGTTGGTTGTTTGGTAGTACTATATGTAATTTTATTATAAATATGTACTGTGGTAATTTTAGTATAAATACACATTCCTGGCAACTTCAGCATAAACATGTATTACTGCTAATCCCCTGATATAGAAATGTATTGCTGTTATTCCAACGACAAAAATGTACTCCTACGCCTTCATAGTGTTTTATTTTTGTTTTGGGGTTCAGTATTTGCCCTTAGCTAGGACCCTAACAAGTGCTACCACCCAGATCAGCAAGAATTTGGGGAAAACAGTAATTAAGAGGTGGTTCTTTCCTCCTCAAAACCTCCAATCTTAGAGGCCTTACTGCCGAATGGATGAGAGAAGGGAAGTCAGAATATCGAGTAATCTAACAAGCTTGATTAAATGGATGGCAAAACAGGGAGTTGGAGTAATAGGTAACTTTACTAAAAATACAACATGATAAAAAGAATTGGTAGAGAGACATGATCGCCCACGACCAGAAGGGACATGATGCATAATTAAGAAGAATTCGCGGCTAAAATTAAAGTCCAGATCACAATTTCCATAATATAATAATATTTCCATAGGTTCGTTGAGGTGCAATATTATTGTGATGCCTGACGCTTACTCGTTGTCAACTTTGTGATTTCAACGAATAGTCGTTATCACGTTCATTATTCGCGTTGTAGTCTAGACTTTGTAATCGCAGATACTAGTAGTAACTCCACCGAATACTACACTAGTAATACTAGATCGAGTAGTAACCGGCAAACCCGAAGAATGATTGTATAGAGAAATAGTATAGGGGATAGTATAGAGAAAATATTTATTTTCAAAAAAAAAACATTACAAAATTGTGGCACAAGGCCGAAGGGGAAGTGGGGAAAGGCGGGTATTTCACTGACTATATTAGTTCTAGTTAATCACAATCACAACCCATTCATTCAATAAAATATACTCAATCACCACAAGAACTTGTCCATCACCTCCCAATCCTACATGTACCACAATACCACATATACACAAGGGACCTACAAAACATTCCATGATGTAAAAATATAATGAGTATAGTATAGGGAATCGCGATCACTTAGACGCCATGCTAGTTCCCATATATACTTTTCCTTTACGATAATGTGGTCTAATTATTACAAATGGAATCACATGTGTTTACTCACTGGTGATCTGTGTTCAAATTCCAGTATCGGCAACGACAATTTATTCCAATACAAAAAATCACTAAAGCAGTTTCAGCAGTACTAATGTGTTCAGATTATGATAGTCTGACGCATACCATCACACTTCAGGTTGTTATTTTTCTTTAATTTATATTTATCTTTCTCCTAGACCGGTTGCCTATACGAGGATAAAGAGCTTAGTATGGCCTTTTGTTTATGAAAATTTGAATTCATTTTTGTTCTAGTGTGTCATTTTTGTTCTAGTTTGCTACCCAAACACAAACGAATTTGCCATGGCTGGGGAAAAATAAATACTTGCATTTTCCAGTGGCATTCTATAAGGTAACAAAACGTCCTTGCCGTATTTTTACGTCGTATCTGAAGATGAATCACTGATAAGGAATTGAGTGCGTTAAATCCCGGAATAGCACGGAGAATGTGGGCACTATTCCTGAACAATGCAAATGCATTGCGCACATACATCAGTCGTAGCTCGAGTAGCGGCGAGTAAAGACGGCGGTGCCGAAGCAGCTCGTTCGGGGTTGTCTGCTTTATGTTTTTAATGTGGATTTGTCCACAGCCACATCAAGTCGCCGAATACGTCAAGAATTTGGGGATAATCTCTGTCAGTGAAAGAAACGACAGGCATTGGTTCTGGTCAGGAGATCTGTCCTTTTGTGATGAACCTGGCAGTTACCGGATACAGGTCCTGGATGATGAGGCCCTGAAGACGACCATAAAGGAGGACAACAGCCAAACATGTGAGGAGCTTATCGACCACATCCACGTTTCTTAGGAAACAGTCAGTGTTCATTTGCACCGCATAAGTAAGGCGTACAAATTGAGCAAGTGAATAGTGCACACACTGTCGGGTGCCAACAAGCAACAATATGTGACATCCTGATTCACGTTGCTTTCTCGGAACAGCAACCTACTCATATTTGATCAAGTGCTCACACTAGTGGCGAAAGGTGGGTCCTGTATGCGCCAGACATTGATTGTCACCGCGGGATCCAGTGCTTCATACCACAAGACCACTTCTACAAACAGGCAATATCATGCTCTTTATCAGTTTAAGATTGTTGTGATCGTGGAAGCATCTTCTTGGAAATCGGTTCCACAAAGTAGCGGTTCGTGGAAAGAAACTATTCGAGTGCAACTTACATCTCATCTATACGAATGGAATAATGGCGGTTCGCTATAATGTGCGTTACTGTGTCAGTTTCAGCCTCGAAGGTAGAAATAAAGAATGTAGTTCGTCTGAAAACTTCCCATGGAAATAGCGATAGTCTAAGGACAGACTAGCAAAGTTTCGTCTGTGGAAAGAGGTTTTATGGTGGAAAATGATTCATCACCCACAAGATCGCGTAGATGCTTTTGGATAATGTTGTAATCTAGAAAGGGTTACTTAATGAGGAATAACCAAAAGGAAGGTTGGAAATGAAATGGTAATCTTTATAACATCAACAAATTACAATACTCGCCAGCGGCGTGAAGTAGGTAAACCACTGCTAGTGATAGACTATTTGCCATATTACACCCACTTACAATAGTTTCCAACGTATTTATCAGGACTGGGACATACCCATTAGTGCTTATAGGTACGGTATATAACAGATACTATCCAAACTGAAAAATGAACTCTGGGTAGTTCGTGCCTATAATGGCAGCCGTACTCCATTTTCAACATGATTTGGCTTTTATAAAAGTAGAAGATAGCGGGAGGAGTCAGTGAGTGATACAGGGAATTGACCATCTTCCTAGAATATTTAGCGATGTATCGTATTTACGAGTTTCACTTGAGAACTGGGTTGAGTTTAAGTCCCAAACGGCCCTCAAAGCAGAGGGCATCGGTGAGAGAGCACTCGTTTATCTTGATAGGCGAAAATTCAGGGTCCGTTTGGTTTTCGAGGCATTGGATGTTGCATATGCAAAACTGTAGAGATGTCAACGGGAAACTATTCCAAGATCTTTCCCAATAGTCCTGATAATTTCCAGATGGTAACGAATGGAATCTGTGGAGAGTCATGATCATCTACGTCCTTCAGGTTAATGACATTTAAAAATGTTTTGGAGATAAACATTTCCAGTAAATGGATTTTACTATTTCCAGATTGGTTCTGAATCTAATATTAATTTTCTTTTTTATATTTCTCAGATTTTGGTGGGGGGGTCCCCACTTTTCTAGACATGAAATTTTCCGGCAATTACATATACTTGTAACAAAAACTAAATCTATTCGCTAATATAAAATAGAATGTGAATTTGTATATGTGTCGGTTACGCAGCCTGATCTCTCCTACTTATTAATGAGATATTCTGTTTTTTATTGTAACAAGATAAGGGCATGCTGTGTATGAGTGTAAGAACTTAATATCTAATTAGAAAAAATGAAATTAATGTCTAATAAAAAAAACCCCAAAAAAACAAGTTTCTAATTAGCAAAAAGATGAAACCAAGTTGTCAAATTAATTTTATATTACTTTATTTCATTTTATTTTAAGCCAGGATG